TGCTAGCAGGTTCAAGAAGGGAGGTGCAGTCAGGGCGGCGCCAGGCCGCGCTGGTAGCATAAAAGGAGCCAAGAGTGAGGGCTCGAGGCTGCCGGTTCTGGGAACAGACTCATCTTGTTGTTGCTGTCGTCTCGTCGCCGTCGTCGCTAAATGTCTCCGTTAGATATTGCACTACAAAGGATAGTAGTTGGCTATCTCAGTCAGCGCCATCAGCGTTAGATGGCTAGTGTTATGTACAGGCTCAACTGAGCTACTGTGGAGAGTGTGCGGACAAGACCGTGAAAGTTGTTAATAAAGTGCCTTCTAGAAACTGTCTCTGAATCGTTGACACTACATGTGTATCTCTCCACAGCGTTGGTGTGAATACCACCTAAGGTCGGCCCCTCGTGCTCACGGCTAATCTACACTCTTCCCTCCTTTTAGCGTGCTGTCAGTGCGAGGCATAGGTATATCGGACCGGAGCTTGGTACGGTTCGAAAGAGGTGGAACTGCTTTATGCACGATGCAGATTATACGGTGGCGGCCCTTCTGGGCTCGACATGAGGCTAAAGTCGGCCCCTTGTGCCTCACCCATGGTGAATTTACACTTTTCCCGCCATTTCGTGAGCTCTAATGGCATGGGGCCCAAGCTATATCGGGCCAGACCCGATCCAGCCCCATAAAGGGGGAACCATTCGTACACAATATAAATTACTCGGTGGTGGGCCCTCTACGTGCGGTGTGAGCGTGGCCTAAATTTGGCTCCTTGCCCAAATACCACCCAAAACCCCCTCCACCTGAGGTTATACCGCCTTCCCATGGGTCAGAGAAATGGTTCCTCGGGATGGAGACCGTGTACACGTCTCGCTGGCGACATGGAAGGTTTTCTAAACTGAGGGCCTCCCGGTCGGATCGAGCCCCCTCATAGATTTAGCTACCCGCTTAACCACAACAGTCCCTTGCACACCCACACCGTGTATATATCTTAAACAAACACAAGATCCAGATTCGTTTCAACACAGTACACAAAATCCGTTATTTAATCCATCTGTAAAGGATGTGATTCTTGACATGCAATACCCTGATGTCTACAAACTGAGTTGTGGTTGCGGCAGCAGTTACATTGGGGAAACGAAACGACATGCCTCGACCGCGTTCGTAAACACAAAGCAGATCTGAAACACGGTAGGACCAATACCGCTGCCATTGCTTATCATTGTTTTAACGCTGTGGGCTCACGCGAAATAGATTTTTCCAAGACGGAGGTACGCTGTAAAACTATCAGCTACCTTCAGAGATTACTCTTTGTTTTTTTTTCAGTAAAGTCACATAATAGCGTACGACGTTTCTGTTGCAACACAAGCAGCCATCATCAGGTACAGAAGAGCTAAATTTGGGAGAGAGGGGAAACACATAACCTCAGATGTATATACAGACACCCAAGTAGGGGGAACTGACACAGATACAACAGGGGACACAGAGAGAGAAGCATACCAGACAAACAGGGTTTAGCAAAATTTTTGGAACCATGTAAAGCAACACAGATGGTCGGTCAAAACACAATTAACGCATAGTCCGGTTGATCACGTTATTTCAAAGATTGCTAAATTGCAAGTTAAGTATGAAACTCAAAATACAGACCACACACACACAGAGACATCCAAGAAGAGCGAACCAGCACAGAGACAAGCACACAGTAAAGTCGCCTTAAATAGGCAGCGAAGGTAAGGCTGAGGTATGCATGGAGCAGAGTGGGGGGTGGCAGCACACAATGGGACAAATCAGCATGAGGTAGTGGGGATCGGCAGCATGCACTCGGAAGCAACAAGGCCCACACACAGGCAGAGACAGCACAGAGACACAAATACAAGCCAAGACACAAAGGCAGATACACAAGCAGAGACAACACACAGACACAAAAGCTTCAAATCAAGTCTGAACCACCTCTCCGGGGAGGTAAGAGGTTTGTGTCTTTGTGTTGTCTCTGCTTGTGTATCTGCCTTTGTGTCTTGGCTTGGATTTGTGTCTATGTACTGTCTCTGCCTGTGTGTGGGCCTTGTTGCTTCCGAGTGGGTGCTGCCGATCCCCACTACCTCATGCTGATTTGTCCCATTGTGTGCTGCCGCCCCCCACTCTGCTCCATGCATACCTCATGCTAATTTTGTTCCATTGTCTCTCAGCCTTACCTTCACTGCCTATTTAAGGCGAGTTTACTGTGTGCTTGTCTCTGTGCTTGTTCGCTCTTCTTGGATGTCTGTGTGTGTGTGTGTGGTCTGTATTGAGTTTCATACTTAACTTGCAATTTAGCAATCTTTGACATAACGTGATCAACCGGACTATGCGTTAATTGTGTTTTGACCGACCGTCTGTGTTGCTTTACGTGGTTCCAAAAATTTTGCTAAACCCTGTTTGTCTGGTATGCTTCTCTCTCTGTGTCCCCTGTTGTATCTCTGTCAGTCCCCCCTACTTGGGTGTCTGTATATACATCTCAGTTCATGTGTTTCCCCTATCTCCCAAATTTAGCTCTTCTGTACCTGATGATGGCTGCTTGTGTTGCAACCGAAACGTCGTATGCTATTGTTATTTTATTATTTCTTATTTATACGTGACTTTACCGAAAAAACCAAAGAGTAATTCCTGCAGTCACGAAAGCTTCAAATCAACTCCTACCTTCAGAGATTTGTTCATGAAGCCATCCAGATATGTAAACAGAGACACAACTTCAACCGATAGGATGGGTACAAACTGAGCAATCATTGGAAGGACGTTATTAACCAGGTAAGTCTTAACTGACTGTGATGTTTCCATCCTACCTGCCTATGTCAGCTGATATTTGCGACCATCTGTCTCTCTCTCTATGCCTCTCTCTTAGATCTCTCATGCTCACATGTCCTTTGCATTGCACTCATGCCTTTGGATTGTACTCTCATGCTCACATGTCTTTTGGATTGCACTCTCATACTCACATGCCCTTTGAATTGCACCCTTTGTGTAGCTCTCATGCCTTTGGATTGCACCACTCTTTGATTTTACATTAACATGCTAATCTCTCACATTAACATAGCCACTTCCGTGCCCTCGTCGAGGAGGCCACTCTCCTATATTACAGTTACATGCTAATTTCTCACATTAACATCACTAGCCCCGGCCACTTATTTATGACCCTTGGGCTACACCCATTTCAAACCTTTCAAAACAGTCTACCTCAGCAGCAGACCATGCTTACCCACCTGATGACAGACACTTGTGTTCCACCCTAAACGTCGTGATCTATTTTATTCTATACCTACGTGACTTTACCGAAAGAACCAAAGAGTCCTAATTACATATTAACATATTTTTGGTACATTTTCACATTTTTGCTTTTTATATATACATTTTTTTATCACAATATATACAACAATGGCAGACAAGGACCAGGATAGGACATTTTAACGTCAGAACATTATACATAAATGGAAGCTGGCCATGCTTGTTGGTGAACTGGATTCGTACAACATCCAAATTTGTGGGATAAGTGACACTGGATATATTGATGATGCAGTTGTAATGACCAAAAATAACCCAAAGCCAATGTGCAGCTTAACGGTTATTCAGAGATAGACCAAGGTCTCCGATTGGCGGAAAGAGGCCTCTACAGGAATTGGTCGAGAGGCAGGCTTTTGAAGTCATTGAAGGAAAAGGTTTGAATGAGAATAGGCGGAAAATAGAGTGGAACCCAGAGGCGACAGTTGGGATCCGTTAGAGGGGAAGGAGAGGGATTGGCTAAGGGAAATACAGTGAGGGAACATTCGCGAAAGGGGACTGCAAAGATATAAAAGGGCAGAGCACAAGGGGAGGGGAGGTTACAGGGAAAGTACAGCTTCAAGATCAAGCATGAAGCCCGGACCTTGATTGTTCTGTTAATAAAAAGTTGCTTCTCGTAGTCTGTCGTCCGAGTCTTTACACAGTGATATGGCCCAGCCGTAACAGATTCACTGCACGTAGAAGAGGTTCAAGCTGGATTCCCGTAGCTGCCCTCTTGATTCGTACGAGTATATTAACCATAAATTACATGCCGTTTGCTTCAAAGTGAAAGCCAACTATTCCATGTTATCTTTCGTTAGGGAATGGCTATAGTGTGATGAGATACCCAAGCCCATATGATGGGATACTCCTAGGACAGAACTTGGAGCATGCACTTTTACTGTGCAACGGATGGCAGTATCTGGCAGTGGTTTATGCCAAGATGACATCTTGTTCTTTGAGTCAAGCATCAAGCAAATGATAAGACTACAGTAAATCCCCATTTAACGCGTGGGGTTGACACTACACGTTTTCGTTATGTTTTTCCTTTGAAGAAGTTTTTAGCTTAATGTGCACCATGCCCGCTATAACGCGAGTATAGCACGTGATGGACTATTCTCTATAACGTGAGTCTAGCGCGTGGTGGACAACTTTTAAGAGTGGCGTGGGTGATGGCAGTGTTGTTCGGGGATGTTAGGAGCTGGTACTGTAGCACAGCGGCACTGTAGTACTGGAGTATTGGCACTATGGCACTGTAGCACTGTGGTACTGTAGTACTGGTACCGCAGTGGATGGTACTATACTACTGTGGCACTAGCACTGTGGTACCGGTCCAGTAGTACTTGTACCCTACCTACTGGCACTGTAGTACTGTAGTAATGGTGCTGTAGCACGAGCAGTGTAGTATTGGCACCAAAGTGCTGGTACTGTACTACTCTGACACAGTAGTACTGGTACCCTACTACTGGCACTGTACTACTGTAGTAATGGTGCTGTAGTACTGTAGGAGTGGTACTATAGGAGTGGTACTGTAGTATTGGCACGGTAGCACTGGTGCTGTAGTACTGTAGGAGTGGTACTGTAGTACTATTACTGTGTTTTGGCAGCATCTTTGTGTGCAGCGTCACCTCACTCCCTCATATTTTTCACCCGCCATATCTCTCTCACCCACGTTATATTAAATCAATGATTGTCAGACATAGCGTATTTACAGAAATACTATGTAAACACAACACTTAGAAAACATGGAGAACAGTGTATTGTACTGTCAAATGAAAACAAAAATAACACGATCGGCTGGAACGGAAACCCCGACATTCACCGTGGGAAAATGACTCCAACTTCACGCGAATCTACGCAGCAGTTTTCACGAACGCAACCGCCGTATTAAGCGGGGACGCACTGTACAACAATTTCAAGGTTTTGGGGTTCCTGCTCTCTCTGACAGCTGAGCGTGGCTCGTAGGTTTGCCCAGAAGAGGGCCTGCTTGCTTTGCTCCACAGGCCACTCCAGGTAGGTCTTGCGCGCCATTAGGCGACGCAGCCGGCAGAAGCGGCTGGGCACCGAGTCACGTGGGATGGGCTCCAGCAGAACGAGCACCAGAGCACCGTCACGGCTCTCCATGAGGCGCTGCTGTGCAAAGTACAGCTCGTAGTGGCACCACTCGCTCTCCACAAAGCTCCGCGAGATGACAAAGAGAGTCTTCCGGCTCTGCTCGATGCAGTCAATGATGTTGTCCATGATGACGCGGCCGGGGACAAAGTCCCGCTCGTGCACGCACAGTCGGAACGGTGGTACTGAATGCGACTCCAGCTCAGGCAGGAGTTTCTCCATTACCCAGATTGCGTCGTACTGGCTGTATGACACAAACGCATCGTAGACTGCATTTTCATCCGAATCTGAGAGGAAATTCCGTCGCTTGGCTTGGAGCCAGGCCCACATCATGCGTACGTACCACAGTGCATCTAGGTACCAACAGAGCCCGACCAGGAGAGCGGTGCAAACGAATGTGGTAACACAAGCTATCACTATCTTTAGTGTTGTGTGACAGTAGAGTGTCGGGAAGGAGAGCGAGGACAGCTGTTTACCAATTGCATCCTCTGGATTTGAGCATTGGTAGTCAGCTGGCCATCCTTCAATGCGCAATGGTGAAGAATTCTCACAGAAGGTGATAAAGTGGCGGATGTCACACGTGCAATAGAATGGGTTTCCCCTCATGTCTAGTAAGGTGAAATTACCCAGACCGTGCAGGACAGAGGGATCCATTGTCAACAATGTGTTCCCAGCGATCGTCAGCACCTTCAGCCAGGGCAGAGCCTTGGGCAGCTCAACTGGGAAGGTGCTCAGCTTGTTATTACTCAAGTACAGCTCTTTGAGCTTTTCAAACTTCATCAATTTAAAGTCGATATTCTGAATTTTATTGTTGCTCATATCCAGCGAGTGCAGTGATGTGGGCAGACAGTTAAATGCATTTCCTTTTAGGAAATTACGGGACACATTAAGGAATTTCAAACTCAAAGGCCACTCACATCCTGACTCTCCATTCTTGCGTAGCCTATTCTCAGACACATCCAACGATGTCAGAGACAGTAAGTTTTTTAACATGGCACCAACTGTATCAAGGGAAGTGAAAATATTTTTGCGCAGAATTAGCTTGTTGAGTTTATCAAGGTTTGCAGAGTGTATCTTTCCACATACAGAATTTTCATTTAGTTTGTTATTTGATATGTCAAGTAAGTATAGATTACCAAAGTTATTTACAATGTCACATCCAAGGCTGATAAGGCTAGCATCAGTCACGACCAAAGATTCTAGATTTGAGGAAAGTGCATTTATGTTTTTTACGTAGAAAATACCATGAAAGTTTGGATTGTATATTCCCTCTATGAGGAGGTGACGTACAGATATGTTTGCACTTGGCAAAATTTTCCATGGAAACGCACTAAGGCCATTAAAATATATGTGCCGCATGTTCACTGCAACTAGTTTATTAGAACGAATGATGCTTGTGAAAAGAAAGACAATGGTCGGGATTGTTACTTGCAAATGTGATACATTGAATATTTCTAGAATGCTGTGTTGCTTAGAAACACATTCAAAAGGGTTTACGTCGCCAGAGTAATTAGTAAAATCAAGGAAGTCCAATTGCAACTCCACACTGTTACCGGAGACATCACAGATAATGCCAGTGAGCAGCGAAATGTTTGTGCGCAAGATCAAGGCCAGAGTCACACTCTGTAGACTGCGGAATGCTGAGAGGGATCCTGGAGTGTAGATGCTCAGGTCTCCAGTCACAATGGAGAGATGTTCCAGTTCCATTGTCTCGCTGATACTTTGCTGAATTTTAGTGACATTCAGACCCCCAACCTTCAGATGATGCAGAGTCTTGAGAAGTGTGAAGGAACCTGGAATATCTAAATAAATGTAGGAGTTGTTACTGACGTCCAGATACCTTACAGACTTGAGAAGAGCAAATGAGTCATCCCATGCTCCTGGTAATCTGTTATTACTCAAGTCAATGTCTTCTAAAGCAGAGTTATTTGAGAAAGCCAAGGAGTCAATGCTTAATATTTGGTTGAAGGCCACATTGAGAGATTTTAGATGTGAAAGTGCTGACAGGTGCTCTCTCTGAATGCTAGAGATCTGGTTGTAGGACATGTCCAAAGAGGCTATGGTGACTGGGAGGTATTCAGGCACAGAGTGCAGGCCCAGGTGTGAGCAGTCGGCTCTGTCTCCTCTTATCTGGCAGCCGCTGAAGATGTAATCCCCATGGCTCCACGCAGGTCCTGCCATCAGGACGAATGTCACCAGCAGAGTCACGCCCATATCCATTGCGCTCCCCCACCCTCCTGGCCAACACTGACGACACACAGAGTTACAACCGGGGGGTTATGCATGGTGAATATTTGCTTAGTCCCTAAATCACGCATGTGGCTGCACATGGAAAGAATGATGTCCAGGATATGGGACCTAGGTGACACCTAATGTTCTTAGCACCAGGGCTGGCAGTATAAGCAAATATCTAGATACCAACTTTGTCATGCAGGAAGAGCAATGTATTTCATACAATACTATGAGAATAGGTTTTCCCCTTTTTTATGGCAACAAAACAGGTGTTAAGATGTTAAAACACCAAACTGAGGTAAGGACAAGAAAAGATATGCAAGAATGGCTGGAAAAGCAATGTCGTGACATTTTATATACTATATAGCTGTTGGATGAACTAGAAAATATATTCCCACCACCAAGGGATGATGGAAATGATAACATCTTGTATGTTAAAGTAAAAAAAGGCAATAAAACATCTGAAGAAAAACTAAAGTCCTGGATTGGATGGCAAATGGTGGAGAAAGGAGAAAAGCTGGAGGGATGGAACTTATAAAATAAATGCAAGAGTTATGCTAACAAGTATGCAGGGAAGAGAAAATACTGGAGGATTGGACAAAATTCATACTTTTCACAATTCTCAAGAAAGGAGATCCCACCGATTGTAAAAAAAATACAGAACCATCGCACTCATGAGCTACATAGCGAAGGTACAATTACATCTATTATTTAGTGGATGAACACTCAGGGTTTAGTAAAGAAATAAACACAGTACAGAACATCTTATTATTAAGGCTTATTGCAGAGAAAGCAAAGATAAATAATAGGCTGGTATCCAACTATTTTATATGTTTCCAGGTAGCATTTCATTTGACTAAGCAAGATATAACGTGGGCAACATTAAGATAATATGGAACAGGGAATAGACTAACACAGATTATCCAGGATATAGGTGAAAGTTCAAAGTCGGCAGTAAAGTTTGGATAGGGAAAAGGAGAATGGTTATAAACAACAATAGGTATGAGACAAGGAGATCGACGATCAGCATATAACGTCATCACATACTGGGAAAGAGCGATAGATCCCATTCAGGACAATGGCACAGGAATATCTGTGCAAGGAGAAAAAATACATAACCTGCGATTCGATGATGACAGTGTTGTATATGTAGGCCTTTTTCCAAAATTGATATTAAGAATAATTCTGCCAATATTTTTTTTAATAATAATCAATCGCGGTGTCGCTTGGGGCAAACCGGGGTGATGCGAACCCCCCTCCCCTCACAGCAGCTACCCTTCTCACTCGCAAACAGGCAGCCCGAGATAAGCCATAAAAGTGAATAAAAACCAAAAACCAAAGAGAAGGGGGGGGAATTGCTTATGAGATTCTGGGAAAATCCCTACACAGCTTCAAAGCCCGTACAAAACAACAAGCTCGCGAGCTTCCCGGGCAGCGAAAACCAAACAGACGAGTTTTAGGTTATTTTAATTAACAGAAAGTCCAAAAACTTAGCGACACGAAGAAGTGAACATCATAGACCCACACACTCACTCCGATTAAAGACCAGGCTACAATCTATATTAGTGGATTATTATTTCTCATATGAGTTTAATACTAAAGTTATTCACCATTATTTTTTTTTTATTCTTCTCTCTACGCGACTTTACTAAGCACCAAAAAAATGAATTCTGGCAGTCAGGGATGTTTTAAACCGAAACTCAGTTACATCTCCAACCTCGGAATAACAAAAAAATAAAAATAATAACTCGAGAATAAACAGCACAAATCCCTGGATACAGACGGGGGAATGAAGGTTGTTAAAACCCGAGGAACATACGTGGTGATAACAATGCTAAATCACGAATCTTGGGAAACATACACCAAATAATAATTATGAAGTATTAAACCGAGGGTTATCCAGAAGAGATGAGGTGAAATAGGTCAAACACACATAACCAAGATAAAATGTATCCCATAGAGAAAGGGGAGGGCATCTCCCCTTAAAAATCAAAAACCACGATGGAAATACTGTAAACACTGCTACAAACATACCTTGAGTCACTTGCAGAATCAGAACTACAAAGCGGTATGGTATCAAGCTATAAGAGGTAAAATAAAATGTTGAACTTCCAAACCATACAACAGAATACAACTTCAAAAGCCACAACACACCCCTTTGTGAGAGGCAAAAGAATATAATACCGGGAGGGAAGAGAAGAGGGGGGAGAATGCGACCGGACAGGGGGAAACCCCCCTCCTTCCAGATTAATTATTGCAGAGGGTTGAAGAAGAAGGACACACTTGGGGGCAATCTGGGGCATCTGTTTTCATTTTAAGGCGGGATGGCTTGAGGAAGGCGACAGGAACCAGGCCTTGATGAAACTTATATTACTTCAATAAAATTAGAACACAGCCCGGAAAAACAGCTGTTCCCACAGGCTGAGAGCGAAATCAAAGGAAGTTCTGGTCCTTTGTGAAAAGGCGAGCCGAGGGGAGAGAATTTCACATAAAAACAGAGACACGACCCATACATCGACACTACAACCATCAGCTACAGAAGTCTGTGACAAGCTACACTGCGACCAGCGACAGAAGACAACCATCAGCTACAGAAGACAACCATCAGCTACAGAAGAGAACCGTCAGCTACAGAAGTCAACCGCCAGCTACAGAAGAGTTCTGCGATGGCGAGCAACGTCAAGCAATCAACCTCAAGAAAGGGCAGAAAGCGCCAAGCATCGACCAAGCCAGCATCGCAGAGAACCCGATTCACACGCAATCGGCACCGCCAGAGAGCACGGAGCAGAAGAGAGCACGCTGCAGCGTAACCAGCGTTGCCAAGCAAGGGTGTCAGCTGCCAGCGGACAAGCTGCCGATGCTATCTGACGACGGGATTATCGCGCACCGACGGCGAGCGTCGTGGACAGAAACTGCGGCCGCCCGTGAGAAAGAGACCAAGCTGTCTGTATGATACGCCTACACTCACACATTACAACGCATCGCCTGGCATCTGCTTGACGCAAAGAATTGATCAAGGAGACAAACCACACATAACACATACCTGGACTAATAATAAGAAGACTCATGATAAGTGTGTCAACTATTAGCTGATAACGAAAAACATGGCTGCCATTGGGTTACGTGGATAAGGTCGTTTAGAATTATTTTAGTAGTTATGTTTCTGTTATTTGCATAAATATTACCAATTAATTCAGATGAAAACTAAACGTTTAGAAACCTAGGTTACGAATCTACACACTCACAGGGAGAACATTGTGTTAAAATCTTCCTTTTGATCACAGAATCTGCCCGCGAATTTATTGCAGCCTTAGCCAATTGATAAGTATTTGCTGAAGCAGGCATACTGCCGCACACCATTGTTCCAAGACATTTCGTTAATTACATAATCATGCCAATGAATTCATTGCCGTATACTTTTGCCTTCAGGACGTGTTTCTTTATTGCCATTCATGTGAATATCGTTGTATGAATTTTTAAGGACTTTTTCCTATCGCCGTATATGCTCGTGTTACTCTGAGGAATTAATCAATTGTTCTGTTACCTAGTTAACAAACACTGTCTGAGGGTTAAATGTACAGATCAATGAGGAGAACATCTCCAGGAGTACTGTGACAATTCCAAGCATGTTTTGTTTCGAAATTAAAATTGTTTAACGCAGAAGTGTCTGAGTGGTGCCTTCCTAAGTTTATGCATAATAATCTTAATTGTAAGAACTGTATCCTGCGGTGAGATTTGAATTTGGAGACCTGACAAACACACTAAGACATAATCAGTAAATGTTAAAGCGAGAATAATTGTATTATCCCGATTGATAATACAACCCTAGACAACGAAGCCAAGCTTAAATTAGCATACTTACATCACACTTGCATAACTTCATACAATTAATTGTATTATCCCGATTTGATATGACCCTCGACAACGAGGTAGAGCCTAATTATCATAACGGCATGCATCAGCATAATAGCATACAATTACATAACTGAATACAATTACACCTTCCCAATTAGCATAATGTATGTGCATAATTACATAAATTAGCATGTTTCGGATAACTACGCGTTTTCCCATTTTCATTAAATTTTTATTGTTTTTATTAATTTTTTCAAGACCCGGCATATACAACAATAGACATGGTAGAAGAAAGCAGTATAGTACTGCAGGAAAGTGTTCTATGCTAAATAAGTTAGGAAAGCATTCAGGACTCAGAATTAATGTGGAAAAGAAATATACTATGATGTTTGTAAGGGTGGACATTGAGAAAAAAAAGTATTACTAGAAAGCAGCAATATTGTGAATATAAAGGAATTTGCATAATTAGGAAGTCTACCGACATGAGACAACGACTGCACGAAAGACATAAGAGCGAGGATCTCATGCAAAATGAGTAATGGCAAGATTCAATAACATCTGGAGAAGCAAGAAAATCAGCTACAAGACCAAACAGAAACATCTTAAGGATATGGGTGTCTAGTATAGCGTTGTATGTCTTCGAGACTTGGACATTGAAATTGATTGATAGAGATATGATATGGGCATTTGAAATGTATTGCTGTAGAAGGAAATTGTATCTAAACTTGACCCAAAGAGGGACCAACGTAGAAATAAGGAAAAAGGTTGCACGTAGAAAAATACCCGATGCAGGCAGTGATAAGAAGAAAACTGGCACTATTTGGACACATATGTAGGATGGACAACAACAGGGAAAAAAATGCGTTTGGAAAAATGGAAGGAACCGGAAAGAGAGGAAGACCTAATAGAGAATGGTTTGACAACGACATAAGATATTGGTGCCAGAAAGACGTGGCACTACTCAAGTATATTGCCACAAGACAGAGAAATGTGGAAACAAGTGACAAAGTGTGCAATGGACACCTACGGACTATCTACCCATGGATTGTGATGATGATGCTTCTAATGTTCAAGATAGACTCCGCTGGGAAACCTGGCATCCAACTAATCTCTAAGCGCTTTGAACTGATCACATTCCAAGTTGCGTCACCCACTTTTCAAACATAGTAAATCCCTTTTCACGTGCGGCATTCAGACGACATGTTTTCGCTTGAACACGGTTTTACTTTTACGAAACAGGTATCGCTTAACACGCACTGTGCCCACTATAACGCGAGTCTAGTGTGTAAAGGACTACTCGCAATAATGTGAGTCTAGCGCGTGATGGACTACTCGCGATAACGCAAGTCTAATACGTGACGGACTACTCTGTAACGTGAGTCTAGCACGTGACAGACTACTCCCTATAATTCGAGTCTAAATTGTGACGGACTATTTTTCTGAGTGGCGTGAGTATTGGCAGCATTATTCGGTGATGTTGAGAGCTGATACTGTAGTACTGATACTGTAGTACTAGCACTGTAGTACTGGTACTGTAGTACTATTACTGTAGCAGGGACGTGCTGTCAGGGGAGGCAGAGCCTCACCTGTCATACTCCAATGAAAATATCTGTTACGAAAAGTAGAAAAAAAGAATAATCAAATAAAATGAATATTAAGATTTTTCCACTAATCTGTGTTATAAATGTAATTTCTGTATGATGCCAATCATTTTTATTGTCAAAATCGCCAAATTTGTGGAGCTCTGCTGCAAAAAGGTGAGGAAGCGACGAGCTCAGCCTCCCCTCTGATTGCGCAACCCCTCAGTAACTGGATGGAGCACGGACAATAAGCGCGTGCCTGTCACTATCTCAGTATGTCACCAATGTAATGTTTGTAGACCCCTTAATTTCATGTTCTCGCCTTCCATACTTATATCACGTATGTGTATAAAGATATTTAGGCTCGCTGGTCTCGTCATGAAACTGCAATGAAAAAGCACCAGGGGCGGCAGCTATCACATCTGCCTTACTGAGGGGGACGTGTCTAACACGCCTCCCTCAGTGAGGCCACGCCACCCTCAGTGTGTGAATCTGGCTCTGACACTAGCCAGTGCCTCCCCAGCCATTGACCTCACCGCACGTCACTGTGCTGTAGTACTGGTATTGTCGTACTAATACTGTAGTACTGTAGTCCTGGTGGTGTAGTACAATCAGAAGGATAAAGAAACGGATTGGACTAGTTGTATATGGGGATGGGATTATGGACACGAATGTTGTGGAAAGGATGGAAGAGCGAAAAGAGAAAGGCAGAGAACAGAGGCGCATGGAGAAGATGGCAGCCAAGGAGCTGCCGCACAGGCAGAGCAGCACCACAAGAGATCACGATCCAACTCCTCTCTGTCTGCCTCTTCCCTTGCACGGCTCCACTGTGCAATTCTCTCATCCAAGCATCGTCCCATCCCCCAAACTCTTACAATAATAACCTTGCTCAATGCAAGACACGTGTCAACTCTTACCTCTGATTGTGCTGTCTGTTGGTGACCGCTTGACATTTTGGGGCCAGTGCTCAAGCACCTGTTTAAACAAAATCTGGACGACAGCGCAATAAAGCCAAGATCCCCCATATATTTCGATTTAAAGCTTTCGTGACTGCAATGATTCATCTTCTTTGGTTCTTTCGGTAAAGTCACGTAGAATGAGAATAAAATAATAAAATTGATAAAATAAAATAACACAATAATATTCTCACGACGTTTCGGCCACAACACAAGCGGCCTTCATCAGGTGAAGGGAGCGAGACTGTCTGGTAGGACAGCGCTGGAGTGAGAGAGCCACGTTCAGATCACGGCTTTTAAGCTGTGTGAGAGGAACAAAGAGCCTTAGAGTCGCGGCATCTCTTCAGAAAGGTGAGAGACTCGATTAGTTGAGCCTTCTTATCCCGAAGTCTGTTGAATGATCTTAAGGATGTGTGGAATCCCTCCCCGTAGAGGCGGTTAAATTTCGATTTAAAGCTTTCGTGACTGCAATGATTCATCTTCTTTGGTTCTTTCGGTAAAGTCACGTAGAATGAGAATAAAATAATAAAATTGATAAAATAAAATAACACAATAATATGCTCACGACGTTTCGGCCACAACACAAGCGGCCTTCATCAGGTGAAGGGAGCGAGACTGTCTGGTAGGACAGCGCTGGAGTGAGAGAGCCACGTTCAGATCACGGCTTTTAAGCTGTGTGAGAGGAACAAAGAGCCTTAGAGTCGCGGCATCTCTTCAGAAAGGTGAGAGACTCGATTAGTTGAGCCTTCTTATCCCGAAGTCTGTTGAATGATCTTAAGGATGTGTGGAATCCCTCCCCGTAGAGGCGGTTAAATTTCGATTTAAAGCTTTCGTGACTGCAATGATTCATCTTCTTTGGTTCTTTCGGTAAAGTCACGTAGAATGAGAATAAAATAATAAAATTGATAAAATAAAATAACACAATAATATTCTCACGACGTTTCGGCCACAACACAAGCGGCCTTCATCAGGTGAAGGGAGCGAGACTGTCTGGTAGGACAGCGCTGGAGTGAGAGAGCCACGTTCAGATCACGGCTTTTAAGCTGTGTGAGAGGAACAAAGAGCCTTAGAGTCGCGGCATCTCTTCAGAAAGGTGAGAGACTCGATTAGTTGAGCCTTCTTATCCCGAAGTCTGTTGAATGATCTTAAAGATGTGTGGAATCCCTCCCCGTAGAGGCGGTTAAATTTCGATTTAAAGCTTTCGTGACTGCAATGATTCATCTTCTTTGGTTCTTTCGGTAAAGTCACGTAGAATGAGAATAAAATAATAAAATTGATAAAATAAAATAACACAATAATATTCTCACGACGTTTCGGCCACAACACAAGCGGCCTTCATCAGGTGAAGGGAGCGAGACTGTCTGGTAGGACAGCGCTGGAGTGAGAGAGCCACGTTCAGATCACGGCTTTTAAGCTGTGTGAGAGATACAAAGAGCCTTAGAGTCGCGGCATCTCTTCAGAAAGGTGAGAGACTCGATTAGTTGAGCCTTCTTATCCTGAAGTCTGTTGAATGATCTCGCTCCCTTCACCTGATGAAGGCCGCTTGTGTTGTGGCCGAAACGTCGTGAGAATATTATTGTGTTATTTTATTTTATCAATTTTATTATTTTATTCTCATTCTACGTGACTTTACCGAAAGAACCAAAGAAGATGAATCATTGCAGTCACGAAAGCTTTAAATCGAAATTTAACCGCCTCTACGGGGAGGGATTCCACACATCCTTAAGATCATTCAACAGACTTCGGGATAAGAAGGCTCAACTAATCGAGTCTCTCACCTTTCTGAAGAGATGCCGCGACTCTAAGGCTCTTTGTTCCTCTCACACAGCTTAAAAGCCGTGATCTGAACGTGGCTCTCTCACTCCAGCGCTGTCCTACCAGACAGTCTCGCTCCCTTCACCTGATGAAGGCCGCTTGTGTTGTGGCCGAAACGTTGTGAGAATATTATTGTGTTATTTTATTTTATCAATTTTATTATTTTATTCTCATTCTACGTGACTTTACCGAAAGAACCAAAGAAGATGAATCATTGCAGTCACGAAAGCTTTAAATCGAAATTTAACCGCCTCTACGGGGAGGGATTCCACACATCCTTAAGATCATTCAACAGACTTCGGGATAAGAAGGCTCAACTAATCGAGTCTCTCACCTTTCTGAAGAGATGCCGCGACTCTAAGGCTCTTTGTTCCTCTCACACAGCTTAAAAGCCGTGATCTGAACGTGGCTCTCTCACTCCAGCGCTGTCCTACCAGACAGTCTCGCTCCCTTCACCTGATGAAGGCCGCTTGTGTTGTGGC